CCATGGGCCTCTTCTTTGACTTAAATAACTAAAGATTTTCTTTTTTCAGAATTAACGTTAAATTTTTTTGGTCTTGTATTCCGGATATTTGGTGTAAAGGTCCATTATTACAGATATCTGTCTGTATCGGTAGCAGAGTCTTTGTGTCATATTTCATACCTGTTGCTGTGGAAAGTCTCTTCAGAGGGTTGGAAATGTTTTTTACCCTTCCCTGTGTCCTCTCTTGCTCAAATGCCTGGTACACCTTTTTAAGAATGTCAAGAACCTGTGCATTACAGAAAAATTTTAAATTAATGTAGTTTAGTCCAAGGTCACTGTTTTTGTTTATGTGAACTCTTTTGAGCTATAAGATATTCAGAACACCTTTGTAATCCATTTCAAAGATTTTCTGTTGATACAGATGAGCTTAATTGAATTTAGTTTTTTTTTATCCCCTTATCTCTTCCTATGAAGAACAGTTTTTCCCCATAAAAAAAAACTTTTGCTGTATCAACTTGACTGCCTTATTAGCTCACCTGAGCCGACGGCTCAAGTGAGTTTTTCTGATCAAAATTTGTCTGTTGTCTGTCGTTGTTGTTGTCGTTTTCGTCTTTGTTGTCCTTGTAAACTTTTCACATTTTCATCTTCTTCTCTAGAACCACTGGGCCAATTTCAACCAAACTTGCTTCAAAGTATCCTTGGGTAAAGGGGATTCAAGTTTGTTCAAATGAAGGGCCATGCCCTTTTCCAAGGGGAGATAATTATGAATTAGAGAAAAATTAATGGTATTTTTAAAAAATCTTCTCAAGAACCATTGAGACAGGAAAGATGAAACTCGTGTGGAATCATCTTCAGGTAGTGTAGATTCAAATTTGTTATGCCCCCCTTCGAAGAAGGGAGGGCATATTGCTTTGCTGCTGTCTGTCGGTCGGTCGGTGGGACTGTCGGTCCATTTAGTTTCCGTTCATTTTCTTCATAACCGTTGCACATACTGAAATGAAATTTGATATACAGGTATATCACATAAATATCTAGGTCATGTTCTGTTTTGGGTACGATCGCACCATAATTGACAGAGTTATGCCCTCTTGGACTTAGAAAAATTCCAATTTGTGGGGGAGGGGGGCATAAGTGTTTTACAAACATCACTTGTTCAAATCATGACCCCTGGGGATAGGATGGGGCCAAAATGGCCGATCAAAGTTTTACATAGGAATATATAGGAAAAATCTTTTAAAAATCTTCTTCTCAAGAACCACTGGGCCAGGAAATATGAAACTCCTGTGGAATTATCCCAAGGTAGTGTAGATTCAAGTTTGTTCAAATTATGACCCCCGGGGGTAGGGTGGGGCCAAAATGGCCTATCAAGGTTTTACATAGGAATATATACGGAAAATCTTTAAAAATCTTCTTCTCAAGAACCACTGGGCCAGGAAAGATGAAACTCCTGTGGAATCATCCTCAGGTAATCTAGATTCAAGTTTGTTCAAATCATGACCCCCGGGGGTAGGGTGGGGCCAAATGGCTGGTGAAAGTTTTACATAGGAATATATAGGAAAAATCTTTAAAAATCTAAAATTCTTTTCAAGTATTCAAAGCCATGCTTAGTGATATTCATAGGGAATCATCTTCATGTAGTGTAGATTCTAGTTTGTTCAAACCATGACCCCCTGGGTGGTAAAATTCAAGCCCCCCCCCCCCCCTCACCTCAGTAAACTTTCAGTTCCTAGCCAATTGCTCAGGTGAGCGATGTGGCCCCTGGGCCTCTTGTTAAGTGTTATAGTATCGTAAACGCCTCTGGAAACCCAATTTTCATTCTAAACACAGTAGATTTATCATTTGTCTCATCCACTAAATATTGATAGCAATTGTCTTGAGAATATGCAATATTTCCTGTGTTATTACTATAGATGTATTATCTAACTTGAAATCAAAGAAAATCTTAAAATTCTTAACTCAGCTTTGTTTAAAATGAATGCTATAACCCTCATAGTTGTAGGAACCAGGGGATGGGGTGCCCCCCTCCCCCCTTTAATGATTTCGCTGATATATAGAAATTACAGCTACTACTTTCTGCTTGTGCCCCATCAACACTCTTTTTGTTTGTCAAGGACTTATTGGTAGTTGATAGTGCCCCTCTAACTGAAAATGCATAGCTCCACCCCCTCCCCCTGATTTTTTTTTTTCATTTGAATTTCAAGACAATATGTGAGGTTTTGTAATGCACTCATATTTTTTAAATTTTGTCCAATCACAACTTCTTGCATGTATTTCAAAGAAAGCTATTTTCTGATTTCAATTTTATACATTTATACATGTAAATTACAATTAAAGTTAAAATCCATCCAGAAGTTGTGAAAGGCTCATATTCTTGATGTATACAAAAAACTTGCACAAATTATAACAATTAATGAAAATAGACAGCTTATGCATATAGATTTGCAACTCATGGAATCACTATATTCATCTATTATATTTAAGATTTTGCTTCTGTGAAAATATAGGTTTTATAATTTGTTGTCCTTACTGTGAACAATGAAACACCATGATAAGTTTTTCTCAGTTTATTTTGCTTTAGGGGTTAACTTGTGTGGGAGGTAACTCTTACCAGCAATTGAGATACTAATTATTACTCATTATCTAAGAGTTATCTTTCTTGTTTATATATATTATATAAAAAGAATAAATAAGACGTGTTTTTGGACTTCGAATAATTTTTATTATTTATTACAATGTGAAAGAAAAGGCACGGCCCTGTATGAAACCATAAACAGTGTATACTGAATTTAAACTTCTTCTCTACCACTACTTACGTGTGTAAAATAACAACTCGGGTAAAAATTACATGGGTGTGAATAGACCTTTCACCACACTATAAAGGGCAAGGTCGCTTCCTGACGTCATTCTTGTCCAAGCAATAGCAGACAACAGCAGGAACTTTCAAAACTGTTGTCCATTATGTTTGACCGAATATGGAGGTTTTTTGCGTGTGTAGAATGTTTTGAACATGAATTGCAATTGAATTATAGTGTTCCAGTTATGGCTGATGTGAAAATATAGTGGTTATAACAAGAGTGTGCGTGATATAGGCTGACATGTTTACGTTTACGTGTTTATGTGTACACGTGTGTGAAATGTGTAACTGTTTGGGGATGCCGAAGTTCTGAAGAATAAAAGGCTTAATGTCCTGCCTTCTATGTTGGATTAAATACCGGGCTATGTTCACATAAGGTAAAGTCATTTTTTTATACAGAAATATTTGTTATAGGGATTTATAGACATCCCAGAATATAGTACCGTAGGTCCATGGTTGCAAACATAGCTGCATAGCTCAAAGTTGTCAACATGGGTGTATCTGTTATCATGCTATAATACCTGTAGAGATTTTACAGCTTGTCTGGTCTTCTTCTGCCGTGGCATTCTGCTGTAGTACTTAAGAATTATATGTTTAAGGCCTAGATGGTAAAATGGCAAAAACACGTTATTTTGTAACGCATGCGTAAATAGATACAACGTGCGCAGCGTTGAAACATACATGACGTCACTTACGGAAGGCTACGGAAAATTCCGAAGAATAAAAAATAATACAGGATCCCCTTCCGAAGTGGCAGCCATTTTGGCAATGTTAAATCCCCGTAGACTTTGAATTTGCCGCCGTGTGTTTACACCGGTTGACCTCGAGGGTTCGTATAAATGCAGAAAGTTTGGAAAAAAATCAATCTACCAATCGGGCATAGGTTGAAAGCCAAGGTATTTATTTATTTTGAGATATTTTGCAAAAAGTAGTGACGTTCCGGTCGTGGGACAGACTATAGAAAATCCCAGATAGCATGACTATGTTGGGCCAACATTTGTTAAAGGTTGTATGGTTAGCGTTGGGGGAACAACGTTGGCCCAACGTTGGACCAATGTTACCAAGTCAACCTTCTCGACCATGACGGAATTCCTATGTTGGCCCATTGTTGGTCCAACGTAAGCAACTTCCATTCACTTTAGTTTCCAAAGAAGGAAGGATCATGGCATTGGCCCAACGTTGGACCAATGTTTATAATACACCCTTAAAGAAAGTGTATTTACAAGTTGGTAGTAGTTTGTTGTTCCAACGTTGGCCCATTGTTTGTAATACACCCTTAAAGAAAGTGCCTTATCAAGTTTGTAGTAGTATGTTGGCCCAACGTTGGCACAATGTTTGTAATACATCCTTAAAGAAAGTGCCTTATCAAGTTGGTAGTATTTTGTTGGCCCAACGTTGGCCCATTGTTTCTAATACACCCTTACAGAACAAGTCCTATCAAGTTGGTAGTAGTATGTTGGCCCAACGTTGGCCCATTGTTTGTAATACACCATTAAAGAACGTGTCCTATCAAGTTGGTAGTAGTATGTTGGCCCAAAGTTGGCCCAATGTTTGTAATACACACAAGTGTTATTTTGTTTAGGTCTTCAAAGATGGGATATTTATATTGGACCAACGTTGGCCCAATTATTATACTTCCAACTAATTGATGGTGTTAATTTTATAATTAGCTGCTGAGCTTTACGTTGGGACAAGGTTGGCACATTCTGAAATAATTAAGAGGACTTTCTATGTCCATGCTCATCATTGGATGACTGCTTTTGTTTAGATATGATATTTTCAACATTTTAACTTTGCACTTAAGTGATCAAGCATCAAAGAGTGTTTTATTCTATTTTTTGAATTGTGTATATGCTTATTTATTTGTAATAACCCAGATAGCAGAACACCGTTGGCCAAATCTTACATTATGGTTCTATTATCTATGTTGGGTTACCTTGATTGGGCCAACAATGGCCCAACATGGAATGTTGATAGCTGGTTATGTATAATAGTGCGCTAATGTTGGGCTTACTGTTTGCATTATATCATAAAACTATTATCATGAGAGAAAATATTTGCTTGGGGACTGGCATCGGCCCTACGTTGGCCCAATATACCATAAATCAGACTGAGCATCATGGGTAGACAACATCCGGGCTACTTGTAATACCCGCGCCATTTTTAATCTGACACGAGCGTAATGAGACTGATACCTTGCATATCTGCATCCACTTTGTAAGTATTATTTATATGTTTGCCTCGGCACAGCTGAATTAACGTTTAGTTTTTAAACGATATCATGTACAAATCTGTGTAAATCAGACACGGGGAAGTGCAGAGGCCAGGTGCTGTTGGGTCAACACTGAACAGATAGCATGCTAACATTGGGCCAACGTTCGGCCAATGTAATCGGTTACATCGGGCCAATGTTGGCAAATGGCATTGACCCAATTTAAGTTTGCTCATCGACCCTATGTTGGCCCGATATGTTGGGCCAACGTTGGCCCAATGTAGAGTGTTATTTCTACAGATATTGGCCCAACGTCGCGCCAATATTGGCTCAGTGAATGCGACATTGTTGGCGAAACGTCAACAAGAACATTGGGCCGATGTTTGCAAATGCCGTTGGTCCAGTGTCATTTTGCTCCTTGGTCCAATGATGGCCCGATATATTGGACCAACATTGGGCCAATGTGTATAAATATTTAATTGTTACAAATCTGTATATTAACAAATCTGATCGTCTCTACAATCAGAAATAAATATACAACCAATCTTACTTGAAAAATCAAGCTAGCTAAAATAAATTTAAGATTCTTATTATTTATCGAAACAAAATAAATCATCAGTGATTAAATTTTGTGTTTATATACAAGAAAAATAAATGAAAGTATAAAAATGTGTTTTGATACAGTTAAAACAATTAATAATTTGCTCCTTATTTAATTTGAAATTTGTGTCTAGTAGAATACATTTCCGAAGTCTACCACTTAATTTATTTATGTACACTTAACGTCGAGAACATGATCAAAACATTTTGACAATGTTGAATTTGCTGAAGTTAAAACAAAATTTATTCATTACTAAAAATAAATTGGGTTAATTCTTTCATTTAAAATTTGTTCAGTGTAACGACAAATTTTCAATACATGTATTTTATATGGGGCAACATTGAATCAAAATTGTTTTGATGATGATTATCAAGCGTATTAATATTATGCATTAATGCCTTCATCACGCAAGCTAATCACTTAATCACACCATGAAACAAAAAAGACGGTTATTCCTTAATTGACAGCTTAAAAATATAGTGATATACTTGTAAATTTAATCGTATGTTTACTCTTTACTGAGAAAAGTAACAAATGTATTAAGTACCAAATATTACAATTTTAGTGCTACTGGAGATTCTAAAAAGACATGGAGAACACAATCAAAGAATGGCTAAGGTATGCCAAGGACAGGGATGAGGGAGGAAGAAACGGACACAGAAGAAAAGAAGGGGGAGGAGGAGACTCGGGAAGAGGAAATGGAGACTTAGGAGAGGGATCAGATGGAAAGTGGCAGTGCCTAACTTTTTTCTGTGATATAGTGTGACATACCTGTAGTTCTACCCTTTTTTGTGTGTTTGTCGGTTATAAACATGATGCAGATGCCAGAAACATTTTTTTGTGTAAGTAAACAAAATGACGGGATTCATTTTAGTATTATTTTAAGAACAGGAGGGCTTTGTTTATTTGTTAGACGTGCTTATTGATACCTGTAATTTACTGAACTTGTGCATAATTTACATCAGAGAGGGAGTATACAGTCATGTAATCCTACATGTATCGCTTGAAGTGAGCATCAACTTTTAATTCTTTATTAATGTTTTCTTCATGCACTGCGTAATAAAATTATGGTATGTTATAATTTAATTTTATATTTTGATTTCTTTTTCCTCAGTTTTTAATTAATGTAGAGCTACTTACAAGGCAATACTTGTTGATGGCAATTCTATGAGAATATTGAGAATATGTATTAAACTATTAATCTAGCATATATAGCATATATAGATAGTATTAAAGGGCTTTTACCATTAAACTGTACTACAAAACTAGTATAACCTTACTGTATATATTTGTTTGTCAATTTTGAGGACAAATGGCCAACCAGTGAAGAGCAAATGAGTTGTCATGATGGAGAGCCAATAAGATACAAACCAACGTTGGCTCAAAAATGATGTTTTCCTAATATTGAAAGAATAAGTGGCCCAACAATGGCTCAATGATATCCGTTCGTTGGTCCAACAATAAGCCAACAAGTTGGTCTGATTAAGGGCCGATGAGCAAAATACCGATGGCCCAACATTAATTGCTTACAATGGCCCAACTGTACAAAAATGACGTTTGCCCAACATTGAAAAAATACATTGGTCCAACAGTGGCCCAATATTAACTGTTACATTGGCCCAACAATAAGACAATGAGTTGGTTTGATTAAGGGCCGATGAGCAAATTACCGTTGGCCCAATATTAGTTGCTTACAATGGCCCAATTGTACAAAAATGACGTTTGCCCAATATTGAAATAATACATTGGCCCAACAGTGGCCCAATATTAACTGTTACATTGGCCCAACAATAAGCCAACAAGTTGGTTTGATTAAGGGCCGATGAGCAAATTACCGATGGCCCAATGTTGAGTTCAAACAGTGGCCCAACATAAGGAGCGTTGTTGGCCCAACAAAGGTCCAATAACATCCTGCTATCTGGGATAAGAGATCTTTAAAAGACGCAGTCAAAACTCACGGAGTACGAGCCCTCAAAAATACTTCGGGAATGGTGAAACAAAAAATGAATCTAGGAGGTACTGCGAAAAGAAGAAAAAAGACACCTATTTTAGCCCGAGAAGGTCCTAAGAGAAAAAAGGAAAACACAAGGAGGAACTCCTAAAAGAAAACGTCCTGTAGATGTTTTTGACTGAGGGAGAGTATAAATAGGACAGTCCAGTGAACAGAAGGTTCATTTGTGAAAACTTAATCCTACTAGACACGTCATGTTACAGCCCGATTTCTGTGCGTGTGGGATGAACAATTTACAATTGTTTCAAGTCCCTCCGACTAATATTGCTAAGACTCTAAATGGGAAGAATATTACCCCATTTCAAGTACTTTAGATTCGGAGACCGCTCCTATCGAATTTGAAATCAAAGGACAAGGAGATCACTATCTGGATTTATCTCAAACCTATCTTCAAATGGTATGTAAATTTACCAAAGACGATGGAAGTGATCTGACTGGGGCTAACAGCACTTCCAGTCCAGTGAATAATATTTTACATTCCTTGTTTACGGAAATCGATCTCAATCTGAATGGAAAAATATTGACTCCGGGTACGGATACCTATCCTGACAAAGCTTATCTGGAAAAACTACTCTCTTACCAACCCAGAACTTTAATGACACAGATGCGGGCCTGTAGTCTGTGGGAAAAAGATACAGCAGGACACATGGACGAAGTGGGGTTAGATGACCTTGGTGTAGCTCAAAATAAAACATTTAATGTAACCAAGGGACAAAATGGTGCTGCCGTCATTAACGATCCCATCCTTACAGAGTTACCGGCCAATTCTAAAAACGAAGGATTCCGAAAACGTCACCAAGCCATCAATGGGAGTAGCAAAATCATCTTGCTGGATCGTTTACATTTAGATTTGTTTCAACAAGATCGATTTCTGCCCAATGGAGTGGACGTCCGTTTGCGATTTAATCGAGCTAGACCCGCTTTCTACATGATGATCAAAGGAGGAGGAAGTACAGGGAAAGTGAAAATATTGAGTATGGTCTTGTGGGTGAGAAAAGTCAAACCCACAGCAGTCATGATGATTGCCATTAATCAAAGTTTGAATACCCACAGAGCCAAATATCCATTGAGAAGAGTGGAAGTGAAAACCTTTACCATCCCTACAGGAACTCAGTCTAAGATTACGGATCATCTGTTTCAAGGCCAGATGCCTTAACGTCTCATTTTAGGCTTTGTGGAGAATGCGGCATTTAACGGAGATCAAACTAAAAATCCCTTTCATTTCCAAAACATTGGGATTAAGAAATTAGATGTCAGTATCAACGGAGAGACCATGAGTACTCGTTGTTTTGAGCCTAATTTCAACGACGATTTATATCTGAGATGTTATCTCAGTTTGTATCAAGCCCTGGGAAAATTAGGAGAAGATTGGGCTCCGGACATTACCCTAGAAGAGTATAAATTCGGATACACTCTATGGGGCTGGGATTTCACTAAAGATCAAGAGGCGCAATCGGATAAATTCCACATCATAGAAACAGGAAATCTGAGAGTGGAAGTTCAGTTTACCAACAATACGGCTAACACCTTAAATTGTGTGGTGTATGCAGAATTCGATAATCTATTAGAAATTAACAAACAGAGAGAAGTGAGTATTGATTACTAATGGACACGGGACAATTGAGAGAAGTCTTATCCAGAGAATTCAAGAGTTTTTTGGGGGAAGTGTATCCTGTAGATTTATTACCGGATCAATTAAGACATGGAGAAAAAGCCATCGTAGTGAATACGGATCCTCAAGATCGACCTGGAGAACACTGGGTGTGTCTGTATGTGAGCAGTCCCGTGGTGGAATATTTCGATTCTTATGGATTTCCTCCCTTACAAAAAGAAATTCAAGACTTTATCCAGCGTCATGCTCACCAATGGATCTATAATCCGTATAGCTATCAAGACTGGAATACCGATGTGTGTGGACAATATTGTGTGTATTATTTACATCAAAGAGACAAGAAAAGAAAGAAAACCGACGAATGGTTATTCCCCTTTGACCAGAGTACGGCTTTACAAAGGGATCGATACGTGGCTGATTGGTTTAAAAACACTTATCACAAATTACCTACGGGTCATGGACAAAAGTGTCAATGTTCTTATCAAAATGTATTGTAATGCATTGTTGTTGTTGTTGTTGTTTGTTGTTAATAAAGAATGAAAAAATAAACCCTAAAATGTGTTATGGTTACGTACTTAAAAACACTGCACAGGTAGTGAGCTCATGATTGAGTAAGATGACGTCACAATGGGAAGAATGGCTGCGTCAAGTCGTAAACAAAACGTAGCTGGAAATGCAAAACAAAAAAAACCCCACAAACGTAGGTAAAACATGCATTTCTGCACACGACCCTGACTTATCCTCCAAGGGGGTATAAATACAACGTGGAAAAGACGATCCTCATCATTTGCATGGGGTATGTGGTTGAGTAAACGACAGTTTGGCAGGAGAATTCCTAGAGATATGGAGATGGAGATGGAGAAATTTGCCTTATTAGAAAAGAGATTAACCCACCCTATGGAAACCCAGGAAGATTCTAGGCCTAAAAGAAGAATAGAGTTGAAAACGCTGGATCCGGAACCTCGTAATGAATATTTACCCACGGATGAGAGTGTTCATGATCCTAAATTTCCAGACAGATGTCATAGGATTGCCATGAATTGGACCTTTATCATTCCAGAGGTTAAAGAAGAAGAAGATATAGACATGTTTCTGAGCAACGAAGATTTCCAGTATTTGATTTTACAAAAAGAAAGGCATCCCTGGACAGGAGAACTGCATCAAATCCGGGGATTCATTCAAATGAAAAAACAAGTAGGAGGACCTGATATGTGTAAAGTTCATATGACTGCCAGATTTGCTATTTCTCAAAGTACCCCAGAATTAGAAAGCCTGTTTTACAAGCAAGGCGGTGACTATGAAGAATATGGAGTTCTGGAACCTGAGGAGAGAAACAAAAGAATTGGACCCCAGAGATTGGGTACAATGGGAAATAGGGCACTGGAAGAAACCTGAAGTGAGAGAGGCTAGAGCAGCTTTAAGGTAGTCCGATTCTCAGGTTTATAAAATTTGCAGTTAAGTAATCAAAAGTCCTCATAAAAGTATCTCTGAATCCTCAAAGTTATGTAAATTTATCCACAGTGTTTCTTTAAAGTTCAAGATTAAATTTAATTATATTATATAGGGAAAATCGTCAAATTTCCAATATTTTTGCAGAAAAAGCGAATAGAAATATCAGCTATGCATTTTCTAATTGCAGATTGATCAACAAATATATTTTAGGTTAAAAAACGATAGGTATCCAGGCATTCGGAGAAATTGTCATGCTTTTTATACTTATTTGTTATTTTTTGTTTTCTATCTCCGTCATGTATTCTATAATACATAGTGTAAAAGGCTTTTGCTATCATTGCAAGACACCACAAATCACTGCTTATTTCATATCATGCTAATAAGCATTGGTATCTAACGCTGGATTCAAGAAAATCTTATTTCTCTAAAACTGTATTATTTTTTTTCCTTTGATAGGGTACAAATGTCAACTTTTATAGGACCTTTTCTAAGACTTCCAAAAACCTTGAACCTTATAAAGATGAATAAAATGAAAATTGTTGCATGAAAAAAATTCATTTTCAAGCTTCACTTTGATGCATTTCAAATTAAATATGTATTTTTGGAGTTATCCTTCCTTGCTGAGGATCGGATATCCTTAAAGAGAAAGTTCTTAATGTATGTAGATCACTCAAGATTTTGAATAAATAAAATATTTTAAAAATTTTTATGTTGTTGTTGTTCTTTATAAAAACAGGTTGTTTTTTTTTTAAATAGACTCATTACATCATGAGTCTCCAGGAGATGCAAGGTGATTTACTCAACAGTGAGGTAGAAGCCATTGTCCATCAATGTAACTGTTTGACTGTAAAAGCTCATGGATTGAGTCAAAGTCTTGCGGAAAAATTCCCACAAGCGAAAATCTATGCGACCCGTAGACCTCTAGGGTCTAGAAATTTAGTCCTTGAAGAAGATAGAGGAATTCCAGGCAATATTAGGGTGTTTACCTCACAAACACCAGTGGTCATTTGTTTACTAGCTCAATGGGATTATGGGAAAGCAAGCCACAGACCTAAATGAATTTCTATTTATCAGGACTCAGGAGAAAATAGAGAGAAATGGTTTCAAGCTTGTTTACAAGAAATGGGGGAAAGTTTAAATTACCAGACTTATGCTTTTCCTTATCAAATAGGGTGTGGGCTAGCCGGAGGAAA